CTCAGTCTCTCCACCGTGGCTCTCCTGTTCCTCTCCTCCTTCCAGCCTCCCATGCCTGCTCCCCTACAGTAGGGGCTGCACACACACACACACTGCAGCCCCAGGCTGCGACACTGCAGAGCCCGCATACACACACACACACACACACACAGGCACACATATACACACACACACACACACACTGCGGAACCCCCCCACCCCCACCCATCCAGGCCTGGAAGGAGAAAGAGAGGTCATCTGATGTCCATCCCGTAGCCCGGACCTATCCGCATCCTGCCAGGGAAGCTGGGGAGGGGGTTGGGGGGACTTCGATAACCCCAGACGCACTAACAGAGCTCTCAGACACACCCAGACGTGATGGCAGACTTTCAGACACCACGGGGGCCACACACTCGCTGCCAGGGCCTGACCGAGCCAGCAGCTCCCATACACACATCCAACCGTGCACATGCAACACCACAAGGTCAGGCGGAAATGCTGAGGGCTGGCCCTCGACCCCGAGGACCCCAGCACACAAAGCCATGCCAACGTGCGCCACAGGCCCCCCGCTGCCCCCAGCGGCCCCGTGCATGCATTCGCAGCAGCCCCAAGACCACACGGATCGGCCAGGTCAGCTGGCACCCCGGGTGTGGCAGGCCTAGCCCGGTGCGCAGGGGTCCAGGAGCCCCCGCCCCCCGCGCACACCCAATGTCACCGGCCCCACAATGTCACACAGAAGCAGCGCCCAGTCGGCCCAGCACCTACCCCCATTTTGGCGGCTCCGCGGAGAGAGGGCCAGACGGGCGCGTCGGGGGCCTCGGGGCGGGCTCAGGCGCGGGCTTGGGCTGGGGACCTTTGCAGCGCCCGCGCCTCAGTCGGTGTGCGCGTCCGTCCGTCCGTCGGTCCCACCGCACAGAGGCTGCGGCGGCCGCCGCCTCCGCCTCCTCATATGCCCGCGTCCGCGGGAGGGGGCGGAGCTGGCCAATCAGGGGCGCCGCCGCGCTGACGGACGGACGGCGGCTCCACCCCTGGTACTGCAGCTGTCCTCTCCCCTGGGCTCCGCAAAGTGGCCGCGCGGCCGCGAATGGGGAGCGCTGCGGGGGCGGGGGGATTCCCGGAGACCCCCGCAATAGGGGACCTGGAGATCCCCTCAATATGGGGTGGGGCCTCCAAGGAGGGGCGCTCAGGGAAGGAGAACCTCGGAAATCCCCTCATTGTGAAGGTGTGCCATCAGCGAGAAGGGTGCGCTGAGGGAGGGGAGTAGTGACACGGGATGGGAGGAAACCTCGGTGAATCGCTGCAGTGTGGCACCAGGGCCCCTGAAGACGGTGGAGGGGGGTATGTTCAGGAAGAGGGCCCTGCAGGAGGGGAAATTGGAGGGGACACAAGAGAGCTAGGAAGGCCCTGCATTTGAGGAGGGGTGCTGGGGGGAGGAGCCACACTGAGATTTCCTCACTGTGGGTGCCCCCACTACGCCTGAGCTATCCAATGAGACACAACCACACAGGGTACACAGGAGACACAACACGGTGGAGGAGAGCCCCAGGAGACCCAGAAAATGCCCAGCGTCACAGTTGCACAGGACCATCAACCTGACAGTCCAGATGCTGGGGACATGCACACACCACAGGGTCGCACTTACATTCCATCACACACCAGCATGTACCCTCACACACACAACAATACCCCATCACACAAACCCAGAGTCTCAAACATCTAGGGATGAAACACATATATGGCACGCACACACACACACACACACACACACACACCCATCACACCACAAGAGAATCACAATCACAGCCACAAAGTGCTGTGCAGACTCACACAGACTTTAGAACATCACAGATTCACACATCACACACTCTACCACACCTGACCTCCCAACATCTCACATAGAAACCCACACCATGCAACCCGTAAACCAACACACATGTGCACTCAGCACCATCACACAGGCACAGGTCTCACACTGCCTCCAGACACACATCAGCCTTTGTGGACATCGTTGCATGATCCCACAATGTCACACTCATCATCACACACATTGCTCCCCAGTGTGTCTGAGCATGAGCAATGGCCCACAGTGCAAAATTGCCTATGCTAACTGTGAATGACAAAAAGGTGCACACACAAAGTACAATAATTCAAACACAAGTCACGTGACACCCACACACCTCCCACACATACATCACGTTATTGCAGCACTACATACATAGCCATCTTTGTTGCACCTCCAAACACACCCCAATGCCCTCACCCAAGACACACAGATATATACACACACAGACGCAGGGCCAGCACCCACACCTCAAGCCTGCCACCGACACAACACCCCATCAGCCACCCCACTGGAGCCCAAGAAGTTGAGGCCTCTCCACCCCTCTGATGCCACTTTGTTCTATGAAGAACACCATAGACTCTCCCTGGGGATGATAGAAAGGGAGGGGAGACAGAGAGAGAGAGAGAGAGAGAGAGAGAGGGAGAGAGAGAGAGAGAGAGAGAGAGAATTTGACCTTGTAACTTTCTCAGAATGTGTGTATCCTCCCCACCTATGGGAGAAGAGACGTGAGGGACACAGGCAAGGGACAGGGATTGGTGTATGAGGGTGGGTGGATGAAGGTCGAGGACCTGGTGGAGGGAAATGTGTGAAAGGCTTCGGGCCAGAGAAAGGCACAGAAACAGAGATTCAGAGCCACAGGACACAGACAGAGAGGACAGAGACAGGTCCAGGAAGTGGACGGAGGCTTTCCCCAGTGCCGAGAGCCCCATCCCAATCCTGTCCTCTGACCCGTCCCCATCTTTCCCGCTGTCCTTTGTTGCCATGGTAACAGGGAGGCTGCTTCTGCAGCAAAGGAGGTTGGGCCTGCAGACTGGGCTGTTGCTATGGAGACTGGGAAAGGGGGAGGAGCCACATCTTTTAACCCAGGTGCCTTGCCCCCAGATGCCCCCTCCTCAACTCTGCCCCTTCCTGGGAGAGGGAGAGGCTATCAACATATCATCCCTTCCTTCTCTTGACACCTTGGCCTAGAGGCATGGGCCTGGACCATGGAGAATAGGACTGGGGAGATGGAGAAGCCTGGGGAGGTGGGGGAGGCCTGGATTCCAGGAGATTCTAGGCTCTGTCTGCTCTCGCTCTCCAGCTGGGCTGGGGGAGGCCTCGAGCCCTTCCCATCGCACCTCAGACACAAGCTCATGTCCCCCGTCATGCACTCCCTCCTCAGGCACGAGCCCGATGAGACAGATGACTGTGCATCGTGCTCCCAGCGAGGTTCTGCAGAAGTAGGGGGCGGGGTGCGGGGCAGCAAGGAGGAAAGACCTGGGAAGGTCACAGGGATAAAGGGGGATAGGGGAGCTAGGTGTGAGAGGCGGAAGGAGAGACACAGGAGGAGAAACAAGCAGCCCAGAACGAGAGAGAGGCAGATACAGACAGACTGAAAAAGAGATTGGCAAACATAGAGATGAGAACACAGAAACAGTGCAACGGAAGAGCTTGGTGAAGGTGACAGAGACACAGGGACATGGAGAGCCAGGCAGAGACAGGTTTGGCAAACCAGGGAGACTCAGAGATAAAGGCCAGGGGGGAGACTGAGCAGAAACTTGGTGGGGGATGGGGGACTCAGAAATGGGAAGAGACCCCAGAGGGGATCAGCCTCGAGGCATTGGGACAGAGAAGGGAGAGAAACCAGAAATGTCTGCAATCGTGTTCCAGTCACCTCGACAGACAGAATCCGGCCCCAGGGCTGAGACATTGACTGGGGTGTGTAAAAGAGATGTGGAGACAGATGCGGGACAACAGAGGCTGGTGCTCGCCCCCACACCTGTCCGAAGGGCCTGCAGGCAGCCAGGGTCTGAGACGCAGAAGGGGCCGGGTGGCGACGGGGAGGCGCTGCGTGCCACACAGTGGCCTCCTGGGGTAGGGGCCTCCAGGGGTGCGGCAGGCCTGCCAGGGCCTTTTAGGGCAGGCGGGCTCTGGAGGGAAGTCGGGCGCGCTGGGCTCAGGCTGGCCAGCTAGGTGCTGAACGGACAGCTCCCAAGGCCCAGCCTCGCCCTCTCTGGGACCCTCCCAGTCTGGCTTTCCCCTCTGTTCTAGCCCCCTCCAGGTTCCATTTAGTTTTTTATGGTTTCCTGTCTCTCACCCCAATTCCGGGTGTCTCTTACCCTCCCGCCTCACTTCTGGTCCCAGCCCTCTACTCATTCTCCAGTCTTCTCTCACCTCACCCAGCCTCTGTCCCTGTCTCACCCGCTCTGTGCCCCCTAGCTCTCTCTCCCCATCCCTCTCCCGCCCACTATGCCCCCTTCGTTGTCTCTCCCCATCTCCATCTCTCGCCATCCCTCCATCTCTCCCTTTCTGCTCGGCCTCGTTTCGGCTCTTGCTGTGTGACCTTCACTCGTCCTTTCTCAGCTGCAGTTTCCACAGAAACCTCCGGCAGGGCGAGGGAAGGCGGGGACAGAAGGCGGGCCCACCCTTCTCCTGTGCCATCAGCCCTTCAGCCTCTCCCACCCCTGTCTGCCCTCCCACCACCACCCTCTACTGGGCTTCCTCTTGGGGCTGGGGAGGTATATTTTCAACAGAAACATGGGGTCACAGTCACAGACAGTTGAAGATGGCCTCGCGGATGCGCCCACACACCATCATAACGTCACTGAATCACCCCGGCCCAGACACACACTCGCCACCCCAAGTATGGCCACACTCAACAGCTCACTGGCCCTCCCCTCCCCCAGCCCCATCTGCTTTCTGCCTTTGTGTGTCTCCGCTTCCGGTGTCTCCGCATCTCCAGATCCCTGCATCTCTCCATCTGTCTCAGGGTCTCTGTCGCAGCCTCCCTCTGTCCTGAAAGAAGGTCAGCGGAGAGGGGCCGACTGCTGGGACCTGGGCTGGCCTGCAGGCTGTGGGCAGGGCCGAGGGTGGAGAGAGCGTGGAAGTGACTATGGAGGCTCACTCTGGTTCTCAGCAGGTGCTCTGGGGACCCAAGCCTCCAATGCCCTCACACCCCCAGGAAATGAGAGCCGGTATCCCCAGTTTTGGGGTTTTGTTCTTTTTTTTATTCCAACAGGGTCTGAGATGTGGCAAAGGGAGGGATGGGGGCCCAACTGACCCCCTCCCTGGGGGGATCTCATAGAAATTCTGAGGTTTCTCCCCCCAAAAAAAAGAGAGGAAGAGAAGAGTGGAGGGGCACCAGGGGACACCCATCTATCCAGAGGCCCTCCCCACCTCCAGAAGCGTGGGAGGCTGCGTTAAGTCTTGGGGAACCTGAGCAGTCCCAGTATGGGGTCCTCCCCGCGGACTGCTTTCCGCTTCCCGGCGCGGTCCCAGAAGTCCCCAGCCCCCGGAGTCCTCGGTTCCTGCGCCCTTCTCGCCTGCGGCACCCTCTCGCGAGTCCACTGGGGGGCGCAGGCGGGCTCCAGAGCCGGGCCTCCGACTTCACCGGGAACCCAAGGCAAAATCGCGACGTCTGGAGCGCCGGTGCACAAGTCCTCTCCCGCACCCGCTGCAGGAGCCGGGACGGCCGGGGCCTGGGGCGGGCCCAGTCCCTGCGGTCAGTCTGGGCGTCCGCAGGGCCCCGCCCGTGGTCACTCGTGCTCCACCAGCTCCCGGGGGCCGGCGGGGCCAGGCCGCGGCCGGGGTGGGCTAGTGGCCTCGGCGGGGGCGCCCAGGCCACGTGGGGGCGCGCCGGCCCCCGAGGCCCGCAGCGCCTGGATGCGCCGGCACTCCTGGCAGACACGCACGTGGGTGCAGGGGGTGGGGGCGGCAGGTCGGGCTCCGCTGGGGGGCCCCGGGTCGTCCAGGAGGCGCTGCGGGCCCCCGTGCGCGCCGCCCGCATCCCCGCCCGCGCCGGCCGAGTAGAGCTTGCCGTTGCTGAGGCGCATCTCGCGGACCGCGCGCAGCGACAGCAGGGCTCGGCTCGGGCCGCCCGGGCGCCGGCGCCGGCGGGAACGCGACGTCTTGCGGCAAGACACGGCGTGGCGCAGCTCCTGCAGCATCTCCTGGCACACCGACACCTGGGGGCGGCGCGGGCGGTCACCGTCCCGGCACAGTCCGCCTCCCGCCTCCCGCCTCCCCTAGCCTCTCTCCACACCCGACTCCTCCTCCTTTCCTCGCCCGATTCTTCTGCCCTCGATTCCCTTCCCACTTCTCTTTATCTCCCCTGTTTTCTGCTTCCCCTCCACCTCTCCCTTCCTCTCTCCCCACTTATCTCCGATGTCTCCATTTTTCTCTGTAGTTGTTCCTGAATCTGCCCTTCACCTTCCATCTAGGCTCCTCTGGGGTTTTCACTCTCTCTAAATTTTCTACAGTTTCTTCCCTCACAGATTTCCCATCCTGTGCCCCTCATCCATTCGTTCATTATTGCAAGACATATTTACCCGACGCCTGCTGTGTGCCTGGTACTGTTCTTGGCACTGGGGATACTGCAGAGAACAAAACAGACAGAAGTCCCACCCCTCGTGGAGGTTATGCTCAAATGTGCATACAGAAGATAACACACACGTATGTAGTGTGTTGGGCGTGATGAGTGCTTTGGAGATAAAATCGTAAAGAGGCCTAAGCAGTATGGGTGGGAAGTGAGGATGAATTCTGAGATAGGAAGTCAAGGAAGACCTCACTGAGAGGAGGATCCTTACTTAAATAAAGACAGGGTGAGCCACGTGGAGACCTGGGAGGACAGCCTGCTGGATAGACAACAGGGTAGGGCCAAAGTGCCCAGGTGGGAGCGGCTTGGCATGTCTGAGGCACTGCAAGCAGGTCAGTGTGGCTGGCAGGGGGTGTGCACAGGGAAGAAGACAGGGAGATGAGGTCAAAGGAGCAGTGGCAGCCAGCTCTGCTAAGGCACATAAGCCACTGGAAGGATTTTTGGCTTTCATTCTGAAAATCAGAATGGAAGAGTCAGATGAGAGTTATTGGAGAGCTTTAGGTAGAGGACTGCTGTGTTTTCACAGGATCACTCTGGAGCTGTGTTGAGAACAGATTGTAGGGAGGCCAACGGCAAGAGCAGGGGACCCATGGAGGAGGCTACGACAATAACCCAGGCAGGAGATGGGGGTGGCTGGACCAGAGCAACCTGAGAAGGGGCTGGATGCTGGACATACTCTGAAGTTGGAGCCAATAGGATCTGCTAAGAGATCAGATATAGGGCATGGAAGAGAGGGAATAGTGAAGGAAAACTCCACGTATTTTGGCCTGAGCAACTGGAAGGACTAAACTGCCTCATGCGTGGGCAGAAGACCAACAATGTTGGACACGTCATATCACATGCACACCTATCAGACAGCCAAGTGGAGATACCAAATGTGGAGCTGAAGTTTCGGACCATGGCTTCAGGGGAGACACACATTTGTGGGTTAAGGCAAGCAGGCTTCAAGTCCCCACCTCCCACGTCCATGCCCCTGTGTAATTCCTTCTGAAACTATCAGAGCTGGGCTTCGTGACCAACAGAATAAGGCTTGGCCACTGCACATTCTGGCTTCCACCTTCCTCTCTTTGATCACTCACCCTGGTGTACCTCAGCTGCCATGGTGTGAGGACACTCAAGCAGTCCTTGGAGAGGTCCTTGTTTGAGGAATTGAGGCCTCCTGCCAATTGCCATGTGAGTGTATTCATCGTGTTTTTTTTTTTTTAATTTTCTGTGTCTTAGGATATATTGACACCTTAAACATCTTGCAGACTGGGGAGAGATTACCCCTCCCAGAACTAGCCAAGACTTAAGAGATAGCAGAGGGCTCAGCTGCCTTTCATGTGCAAACCAACCAATTCCGAGTCTATACCCCTAACCTCTCCCTTTACCTAACTCTCACATACCAAGCCAATATTCTTCCTGCCCTAAATCAACCCAGGGTCAGGTGCCAGAAGACTGGGGACAGCCCTTATAGCCCAGAGTCCACTGACATTATTCAAACTGACGAGTTATAAGCTATTTCCTCTGCCCTGCCTTGCCTTTCCCGAGGAAACCCCAATAAAGGCTGCGGGCTGCTGGCCCCTGTTTCTAGTGCTTGTCCTGTGCCCTCTTCTTCTGGGAAATGTTAAGAAATAAAAATTTTTCTTTTCTTTTCCTTTTTTCTTTTTGAGACAGTCTCACTCTGTTACCTAGGCTGGAGGGCAGTGGCACAATCTTGGCTCACTGCAACCTCTGCCTCCTGGGTTCAAGCGATTCTCCTGCCTCAGCCTCCCGAGTAGCTGGGACTACAAGTGTGCATCACCATGCCTGGCTATTTTTGTATTTTTAGTAGAGACAGGGTTTTACCCTGTTGCTGGTTGTGAACTCCTTTCCTCAAGCAATCTGCCCAACTCAGCCTCCCATAGTGCACTTGGCCCAAAATCATCTTTCAATGGAATTGGTCTCTCCATGTTGTCACTCCATCACCTCCATAAACTAAAATCCCATGGGACATTTGAGACAGTGAGCCATCTTGGAAGGGAACCCTCCACAGCCCCTGTTGAGCCTTCAGACCACAGCAGTCTGGCGAACAACATGACTATGACCTCACCAGAGACCCACAGCAGCCAGAACCATTCAGCTAAGCTGCTCCCAGGCTCTGGACCCACAGAAACTGTGAACCAATGGAAGCTGGCTTTTAAAAGCTGTTATTTGTTATGATAGCAATAGATAAGTAACACAAGAGTCACCAGCACATAGGGGGTCTTAAGAGCCATTTGGCTGGTGGGATCACAGAAGGAGTGAAGAAAGACTGAGAAGAGAAGCAGTCTAAAGACCAAGCCCTAGGGCCTCCACAATAAACAGAGGCTGGGGAGAAAGAGGAACCCAGTAAGGGAGCCTGGGAAGGAGTGGTCAGAGAGGTGGGAGAAGGGCTTTGAGGACTGAGAGTGACTGGCTATGCCAAAGCCCACTGCTACCTCATATAGATGAGGCCTGAGACTGGGGATTTCAGGTGTGGAAGTTGCTGGTGACAAGAGTGGCTTTGGAGTGGTGGGGACAGAAGCCAGATTGGAGAAGGGGCAAGAGGAAATGGGAGGAAAGACGAAACTGGAAGCATCAGGGAGACCCCCTCCACCAAGGCTGTGAAAGAGGAGAAACGGGGCAGTGGCTGAGAGGAAAAGTGAGGTCAGGAGAGGGTTCCTTTAAGACTGGAGAAATGACAGCACATTTGTATGCTGGTGGCCTGAATCCAATAAAGAGAAGACAACTGATGCTGCAGGAGGAAAGGAGAGACTTGCTGGAGGGATGTCCTTGGGAAGGCAACCTGGACACGGGTGGAGGGCGCCCTTGCTAGCAGCATGGACAGCTCCTTCAGAGGAGCCCTCGGGCCAAGTGGAGAATACTGGCATGCAGCTGGATGCAGAGCCGGGATCTGGGGAGTAGATGCAAGGTCAGCCACCAGATGTGAGGAGGGGCTGGAGGCTGGCAGAGAGAGGGGAAGTGGGGAACCAGCAGTCCAGGGGTACAAGAGCATGAATGGGTCTGGAAACTCAGGGGTGTGGCTGGGCGACCCCCAGGGACACGGAAGCAGCCCTCCTGAATACAGTGTGAGACCAGTCCAGGGCTGTGTCCTCTTCCAATTGCAGTTGCATCAACTGCTGTCTCCTCACCTGTTTCTCTCTCTCTCTCTTTTTTTTTTTGAGATGGAGTCTCCCTCTGTCGCCAAGGCTGGAATGCAGTGGCACGATCCTGGCTCACTACAACCTCCACCTCCCAGGTTCAAGCGATCCTCCCACCTCAGCCTCCCAAGTAGCTGGGATTACAGGCATGCACCTCCATGCCTGGCTAATTTTTGTATTTTTAGTAGAGATGGGGTTTTGCCATGTTGGCCAGGCTAGTCTTGAACTCCTGACCTCAGATGATCCACCCTACTTGGCCTCCCAAAGTGCTGGGATTACAGGTGTGAGCCACTGCGCCCGGCCCTGTTTCTCCTCTTATTTCTTCTTGCTTTCCCGCCTCTGTGGCTCCCCATATCCTGCCCCTCACCTCCTCTCCCTGCATCCTCATCGCTTCCTGTGCCCACTTTCCCTCCTGTTCTTCCTCATATGCTGATTCTCTGGCCCCCCGTCAGCTCTCTTACTTCCCCACCTCCTGCATTCCTCTACCCTCTTCTCATGATCCCCACTACCCTCCAGGTATGGCTCCCAATGCCACGATCTTCATGAACCTCAGTCCTTGGGGCTCCCTGTTCCTGCTCACCCCGCCACCAGCCTCCTCACCTCCTCGGACTCCGCTGACCTCCGTGTGGACCATATGAATTCCATGACCGCCACAAACACAGCAATGATGAGGCCACAGATGAGCACAACAAAAATGCCACCAATGTTCTCCATGCCCAAACCTAGGGGGTGAAGGGAGGTGGGGAGCCACAGAGTAGGGACTGTGTGGGAAGGGGCCTGGGATTGTGGGAAGGGGATATGACACATGGGGGCTGACCTTTAGCTCGATGATCCTCCTCCTTGGGGCACCGGCCCCCCTCCCACCACTTGCGCTTCAGGATCTCCAGCCGGTTGTTCTCCTGAAGCTGCAGGATGGCCAGTGTGATCTCATCTCGGAACGGGGAGCCTGGGCGGGCACACGAGGGCTGGACTGGCCATTGGGGCCCCGCAGCCCTGCCCGCCCCAAGCCCCAAACTGTGCCCTCACCGTGGCCTTCCCCGGCCTCCACCACGTGCCTGGGGTCTTCCCTGTGGCCTCTCCTCACCCCCAACCCAGTCCCCTCTCAACACAGCAGCCAGAGAGACAGTGTTAGAAAGAGTCAGAGATCATGCCTTTCCTGTGCTCAGGACCCTTCATGGCTTCCTGTTGCAAGGTCCTCCCTCGGCTACTCTCAGACACCCTCACCTCCACAACTCTTTCAGCTCCAGCCCCACCGGCCTCCTGGCTGCTCCCTGAATCCATCACATACAATCCCATCTTAGGACCTTTGCCTCTGCCTGGAATGTCCCTTCCCACACTTCATTCAGGTCTCTGCCCACATGCTGGCTCCTCAGAAAGTCTATTCTGATGACTTTATTTAAAATGGCACCAAGCACCCCACTCCCCATCAGTGTCTTCCCTTTAATTTACTTTGGAGCAGCTGTTACCACCTAACACCGTATTATATGGCTATGTGTTCATCATCTGTTGTCTGCAGCCCCACCAGGGTATCCAGCATCTACTGTGGGACTTGGCATATGGTAGGGCAGCAGACAAATTACCATCCACACCTTTCCCTGGACCACCTCTCGCCATCCTCAGGTCCTGCCCTTAAGCCATCCTTGAGCTCCAATATCCCACACACCCTATTCTGGACTTATTTCTTCATTTGCTAAGATACTTCCTGATCATCTACCACAGAACCAGAAACACCGGCAGGTGGAGGTGATTCGTATCTACCAGGCACCAACTATGTGCCAGACACTGGGTTTATTCAGGTCTCATGATGATCCTGTGAGGCAGGTATTCTGACCTGAGGCAAGTGTTTCTGAATGAGGAAAGTGATACACTTGCCTAAGGCTGTGCACTGAGTCAGAGAGGAAACTGGGATTTCTTTCTTTCTTTTTTTTTTTTTTTTTTTTGAGACAGAGTCTCACTTGGTTACCCAGGCTGGCACATAGTGGCATGATCATTGTTCACTGCCACCTCCACTTCCTGGGCTCAAGCAATCCTCCTACCTCAGCCTGTAGCTGAAACTACAGGTGCATACCACACCTGGTCAATTTTTAAATTTTTTGTAGAGACAGGGTCTTGCTATGTGGCCCAAGCTGGTCTCAAACTCTTAGGCTCAAGTGATCCTTCCAGCTTGGCCTCCCCAAAGCTGGAATTATAGGCATAAACCACAGTGGCTGGCTGGAACTGGGATTTGAATCCAGGTCAGTGTGTCTCCTGGGCCTGTCCTCCAAGCACCAAGCTACACTGCTTCCCTGTCACTGACTCACCTAAAAGCTGCTAAGATATGGGACAATTTGCTGTGCAGTGATAGATAATTAATACAGGTATCATCAGTACACAGATGATTTAAAAAGCCAAAATACCAAGATTTGGAGACAAAATAGTTGTGAGTTCCAGCACCGAGTCCTGGAAAAACATGTCCTGGGTTGGGCATGGTGGCTTACGCCTATAATCCCAGCACTTTGGGAGGCCGAGGCAGGCAGATCACCTGAGGTCAGTAATTCACAAGACTAGCCTGGCCAATATGGTAAAACCCGTCTCTACTAAAAACATAAAAATTAGCCGGCCAGGCCGGGCGCGGTGGCTCAAGCCTGTAATCCCAGCACTTTGGGAGGCCGAGGCGGGTGGATCACAAGGTCAAGAGATCGAGACCATCCCGGTCAACATGGTGAAACCCCGTCTCTACTAAAAATACAAAAAATTAGCTGGGCATGGTGGCTCGTGCCTGTAATCCCAGCTACTCAGGAGGCTGAGGCAGGAGAATTGCTTGAACCCAGGAGACGGAGGTTGCGGTGAGCCGAGATCGCGCCATTGCACTCCAGCCTGGGTAACAAGAGCAAAAACTCTGTCTCAAAAAAAAAAAAAAAAATTAGCCGGCCATGGTGGTGGGCACCTGTAATCCCAGCTACTCAGGAGGCTGAGGCAGAATTGCTTGAACCCAGGAGGCAGAGGTTGCAGTGAGTGAGCTGAGTGAGACTGCACCACTGCACTCCACCCTGGGGGACAGAGCAAAAGTCCGTCTCTAAAAAAGAAAAAGTCCTGAAATAGAAATAGGTACATCTGAGTCTCCCTACCAGATCCTTCCATCCATCCTACAAGCATTTTCCAAGCACCAGCTCTGAGCCAAGCTATAGGTTTTGTGCAGAAAATAGGAAGCAAATAAGACCAGGTCCCCACCGGGTGCAGTGGCTCATGCCTGTAATCCCAGCACTTTGGGAGGCCGAGGTGGGCAGATCACCAGGTCAGCAGATCAAGACCATCCTGGCCAACACAGTGAAACCTCATCTCTACTAAAAAAATAAAAATAAATTAGCTGGGTGTAGTGGCACACAGCTGTAGTCCCAACTAGTCAGGAGGCTGAGGCAGGAGAATTGCTTGAATCCAGAAGGCAGAGATTGCAGTGAGCCAAGATCGCACCACTGTACTACAACCTGGGTAACAGTGTGAGATTCTGTCTCAAAAAAAAAAAAAAAAAAAAAAAGACCAGGTCCTCACCCTCAAAGGGTCCTTGTGGGAAGACAGCAAGCCCTACCACTCACATGTACTGAACTCTCCCAACAGCTCTGTGAGGGCTGTACTGTTGCTAGGCCTGGTTTTGCAGGTTGTGGGTGCAGACTCAAGATGGGGATGTCGCCTGCCCAAGGCCATATAGCCAGGAGGCCACATGCAACACACCCAGCCTGCCTCGGGGAGGGCCTGGCCTGCTCACAGGTGGTTTTGGATGCCCAGGGCCCCACCATGTTGTACACCGCGCTGCGCCATACCCAGCGGCATGCCGATGCCGTAGCCCTTGGTGTCGAGGAGGCCCCCGATCTGGGTGAGGTTGCAATTGAGGCGCCGGTGGTACTCGTTCATGGTGGACTCGAGCAGGAAGGCGTAGCGGGAGTTGAGGACACGGGCGATGCCCTCTTCTGTGCTCTTGACGAACACGCTGGGCTGCTTTGACTGCATGTAGTTCCACATGCGCTGGTACGTTTGGTACCGTGAATTCTGGGCAGGGGGAGCACAAGGGGAAGACAGGGGAGAGTCTTTCCAACAGCTTCCTTTCCCCGAGCCCTTCCCGTCCCGTCCTCCAGGAAGTCTCCCTCAACCCAGGAGAGCGTGAGGTGACCCAAGGAAGACAGAAAGAGCCAAAGGCAGAGGAGAGATGAGATGGACAAATTGTCCAGGCCAAGTTCAGGTCATCCCCACAGGCACTGTGCCCACCAACCACCTGGGAACCCTCCACCTCCTCCCCTTTAACCCTCCAGCCAGTGGCCCCTATCCTGCTCAGGCCTCCTTTAGACCCCTAGGAACCTCCCTGCCAAGCTTGCTTTCCTTTTCTTTCCTTCCCACCACCCCAAAATACAAAGGATCAAGCACTTTTCACCTTCAAGAGCCTTCCCTTCTCTCCGCCAGCCCATATTCCTGGGCCTGACCCTTCCAGCAGCCTCCTTGATCCCATTCGGCCCATATGACATTGACATTTTATCCCACATACGCCTCCCTGCCCTCATTCCTCAGTTCCCCAGCCAGCCAGCCGCCATCCCTATGACAGCAATAAACGTGGCTTCTGCTCCCCAGTCTCCCAGGCTGTCACTGACAATCAGTCTCTCTGACCCAAGAGGCCCTGCCCAGCCCCATCCTGAGCTGCTATGCATGGCAGGAATCCCAACACCATGCCTGAGGGGTTCTGGTGGCCCCACCTGGAAGAAGGTCATGGTGGAGCCAGCGTGGATGGTGCCGTACTCGATGTTGGTCTGATCTGCCAGGTCATCAGCCGACTCCACAGGCACCTCCATGCGCTGCACGGTGAGGAAGGCGGCCAGGTTGGCCGTGTAGGAGGAGATGATGATCAAGGTGAAGGCCCACCTGAGGGGTGGGAGGGGTAAGCCATGGGCTGGAGCCACCCCTGCTGCCCTAACCCTGTGACCATGCCCCCTATTGGTGGTGCCCCCCTCCAAGTGACCCCAGCATCTGGGAAGGCTCAGTGTCAGAAGCAGGGAGTGTGGATTCTGAAGCCAGACTTCCTGGTTGTAAATATTGCAGCCGGAGACTTCTACTTCCAGATATAAAAGAGTAAGATGGTCTGGAAATATCCTTCCACCATAAACAGCTAAACAGCTGGATAGAATACAGGAATTTTTTTTTTTTTAGAGATAGAGTCTCGTTCTTTCTGCCCAGGCTTGAGTGCAGTGGCATGATGTCAACTCACTGCAACCTCCACCTTCTAGGTTCAAATGATTCTCCTGCCTCAGAATCCCAAGTAGCTGGGATGCACCTGCCTTCATGCCCGACTAATTTTTGTATTGTTAGCAGAGACAGGGTTTTGTCCTATTGGTCAGGCTGGTCTCGAATTCCTGACCTCAGGTGATCCACCTGCCTCAGCCTCCCAAAGTGTTGAGATTACAGGTATGAGCCACTGCACCCAGCCAGAAAACTTTTAAAGACATAGGACAACAGACATCATAGGACTGTGATCCCTGAGAACAGAAACAAAGTGAGTCTTATCATTGTCCAGGCTGTTCGGCTGGATTTAATTTATAGGAAGGGAAGCCCAAACAGCCCAGCTATCCTGCTGAGTTGCAGAGATGGAGACTGGAGATCAGGGAGGCCAAGATGGCTGGAATTTGGGGGATAGAGTACCTGAGAGGAGAGAGATGCACAGAGAGAGGGTTCAGAAATCGGTGGTTCCCTTGAGTCTTTGGCTGAGTATCAATCTGTGCATGCATGGGGCGAAACTCTGTGGGGCTGAACAAGAGCAACTTTCAAGGAGACAACAATTCTGAGGGTTCATACAGGGCTGAGAATCTTTTGAGCTCCCTCCAGCCAGAATAGAAAGATTTCATTGAATACATGAGATATTCAGTAGAGACCCAAAAGTGTAACATACTAGAAATAGGATTAAATCAGCCCTAGAATAAAGGCAATGCTAAACCTGCCTTAAAAGAGCTTAAAAACAGGCCTGCAAGGATCAAAGTAATTTGCAAGTAACTTAACTGCCTTCCAGAAAAAGTCTCTAACACTCTCTAAAGAAATATATTCAGCAATGTAAACAATGTAAAATTCACAACGTCTGCCATGTAATTTTTTTTTTTTTTTTTTTTGGAAACAGAGTCTTGCTCTGTTGCACAGGCTAGAGTGCAGTGGCACAATCTTGGCTCACTGCAACCTCCACCTCCTGGGATTAGAAGCACCTGCCAGCAGTCCTGGTTAATGTTTGTATTTTTAGTAGAGACAGGATTTCACCATGTTGGCAGGTTGGCTTTGATCTCCTGGCCTCAGGTGATCTGCATGCCTCAGCCTCCCAAAGTGCTGGGATTACTGCCATGAGCCACTGCGCCTGGCCTATTATGTTAATTTTTAAAAGAAAACCAGGCTGGTTGGCTGGGCACAGTGGCTTACGCCTGTAATCCCAGCACTTTGGGAGGCCAAGGCAGGCAGATGGCAAGGTCAAGAGATCAAGACCATCCTGGTCAACATATGAAACCCCATTCTTATTAAAAATACAAAAATTAGCTGGGCATGGTGGCACATGCCTGTCTTCTCAACTACTCTGGAAGCTGAGGCAGGAGAATCACTTGAACCCACGAGGCAGAGGTTGCAGTGAACTGAGATTGAAGTGAGCTGAGGTTGTGCCACTGCACTCCAGTCTGGTGACAGAGTAAGACTCCATCTCAAAGAAAGAAAGAAAAAAAAAAAAACAGACCAGACTGGGCACGGTGGATCACACCTGTAATTACAGCATTTTGGGAGGCCAAGGTAGGTGGATTGCTTGAGGCCAGGAGTTCAAGGACAACCTGGCCAATATGATGATTCCCTGTCTCTACTAAAAATACAAAAATTAGCTGGGCATGTAGTGTATGTCTGTCATCTCAGCTACTTGGGAGGCAGATGCATGAGAATTGCTGGAATACAGAAGGTGGAAATTGCAGTGAACCGAGATCACACCATTGTACTCTGGCCTGGGTGACAAAGCAAGACTGTCTTAAAAAAAAAAAAAAAAAAAAAAAAAAGGGACCAGGTAAACAAAGATGCAGGAACATATTAGTAGACAAGGACATGAAAACAGTTGTTGTTTTTTTTTGAGATGGAGTTTTGCTCTTGTTGCCCAGGCTGGAGTGCATGGTGTGACCTCGGCTCACTGCAACCTCTGCCTCCCAGATTCAAGCGATTCTCATGCCTCAGGCCTCCTGAGTAGCTGGGATTACAGGCATGCGCCGCCACGCCCTGCTAATTTTTGTATTATTAGTAGAGACAGGGTTTCTCCATGTTGGTCAGGCTGGTCTCAAACTCCCGACCTCAGGTAATCTGACTGCCTCAGCCTCCCAAAGTGCTGAGATTACAGGCATGAGCCACCTCACCCAGCCCAAAACAGCTATTATAAATAAATATATTCAGAATGCTCAAGAGTATAAGCAAAAACATGAACATAATGAAAGGAACAGAAGACATAAAAAAGAAGTGAACAGAACTTTTAGAGAATGATATACACACATCTGAAAGAAAAAATTTACTGAAAGGGATTACACAGATTAGACACTGGCAGCAGAAAAGATCAGGCAGTTTGGGACAGGCACAGTGGCTCACACTTGTAATCCCAGCACACTGGGAGGCTGAGGCAGGAGACTCATTTGATGCTGGGACTTTGGGATAAGCCTGGTCAACATAGCCAAAACCTATCTCTACAAAAAATAAAATAATTAAAAAAAATTAGATGTGTGTGGTGGTACCTGTCTATAGTCCCAGCAACTTGGGAGGCTGAGGTGGGAGGATCACTTGAGGCCAGGAGTTTAAGGCTGCAGTGAGCCTGATTGTCACTGCACTCTAGTTTGCATGACTGAGACCTTATCTTAAAAAAAAAAAAAAAAAAAAAAAAAGACTTGGTACTGCGGCTATGCCTGTAATCCCAGCACTTTGAGAGACTAAGGCAGGAAGATAACCTGAGTTTAGGAGTTCATGACCAGCCTGGCCAAAACAAGGTCAAAACCTGTCTTTAGTAGAAATACAAAAATTAACCAAGTGTGGTGGCATATGCCTGTGATCCTAGCTACTCAGGAGGCTGAGGCAGGAGAATTGCCTGAACCTGGGAGGTGAAGGTTGTGGTGAACCGGGAGGGATCCTGCCACTGCACTCCAGCCTGGGCGACAGAGCGAGACTTTGTATCCAAAACAAAAAAGAGAGAGAATTTGAAGACTGCAATGGAATCTATCCAAAATAAAACACAGAAAGGAAAAAGTGACTGAAAATGAGTACAGAGCCTCAGTGGCCTGAGGAATAACTGGCTTTACCTATGTGACTGGAGTTACAGAAAGAGAAGAGAAAGGAATAACAGAAAAAAATACTTCGTGAAGTAATGGCCTAAAACTTTTCAAATTTGATGAAAACCATAAACTTGCAGATCTAAGCTCCAAAAACCCCAGGTAGGCTAAACACACATATTTATAAAACGCACCAAGACACATTATAGTCCATTGCTGAAAACCAGCAATAAAGAGAAACATCTTAAAAGCAGCTGGAAGGGGGGAAACATATTACATTCAGAGAATCAAAGATAACAGTGCCAGTCGACTTCTTGTCAGAGAGTGTGCAAGCCCAAAGACGATGCAACATGCTGAAAGAAAAATCAAAACTGTCAACCTAGAATTCCACAGCAGGCAAAAAAATATCCCTCAAAGAAGATACACTAACATTTTTCAGACAAAACCAAAGCCGAGAGAATTGCCAGCAGACCTGCACAGCAAGAAATATTAAAGGAAGTTCTGCAGGTTAAGGTGATGCACACCACCACACAGAAACGTGGATGTATGAGAAGGGGTAAAGGGCACCCTCTTCAAATGGTAGATTTGTGGGTAAATATAAAAGATATATTCCTCATTTTTTTTTTTAATTTTTGCCCATGAACCTGTAAAATCAAAAGCAATGTTCCTCATTTTCAAATTTCCTTACAAAGCGTTTATTGGTTTTGTTTTGTTTTTGAGACAGGGTCTCACTCTGGGGTGGAGTGGTGTGAACACAGCCCACTGACACCTCGACCTCCTGGACCCAAACGATCCTCCCACCTCAGCCTCCCACGCAGCTGGGACCACAGGCATGTGCCCCCATGCCTGGCTAATTTTTGTATATTTTGTAGAGACAGGGTCTTGCCATGTTGCCTGGGCTGGTCTCGAAGTTCTGAGCTCATGCAGTCCACCCATCTTGGCTTCCCAAAGTGCTGGTATTATAGGCACGAGCCACCACACTCAGCTGCATCTGCTAAACACACAGACACACAGACACACAGACACACACACACACACACACACACACACACACACACACACACCCCTAATATATTGTGGGGTTCATAAGATATGCAGAAGTAATAGACACAATAGCTCAAAGGATGGGAGGGTGAGGGGAACATATCATGTTGTCAGGGTCTTATTATATCTTATGTAAAATGGTATAATGTTACTTGAAAGTATTTTGTAATAAATTAAAGATACATATTGTAAACCCAGAAAACCACTAAGAAAAATAAAACAAAGAAGTATAGTTAACAAGTCAAGAACAGAGATAAATAGAATCTTAAAAATCCCAACAGGCCAGGCACCGTGTCTCACACTGTAATTCCAGCACTTTGGGAGGCCAAGGTGGGCAAATCACTTGAGCTCAGGAGTTTGAGACCAGCCTAGGCAATGAAGTGAGAATCTGTCTCTACAAAATAAGAAAATTAGCTGTGCATGGTAGAGTGCACATATGGTCCTAACTACATAGAAGGCTGAGGCAGGAGTATCGCTTGAGCATAGGAATCATGTTTGTGCCACTGCACTCCAGCCTGGGTGACAGAGTCTGACCCTGTCTCAAACAAACAAACAAAAAGTCCCAGT